ATAATTATAATCCAATAATAATGAATATAAATCTTATCCAATAAGATTATTCGTTAAATGTCATATCATGACAATATGTATTAATCGATCACCTTTATTATTATATCCAGTACAGAGCAAGGAATAGAAATCATCTATTACAATATTTGTTGCCATTCTTTGATCTGTAATAAATTTTTGAAATAGTCATTGATCTCTCTCTGTTTCAGGAAAATGGATCTCATCAGGTTTGAAATCTATAAATTCAGAAAGTTATTTACGAAGTTCAACCATTTTATATTCATTATGTAATATCCTTCAAGCACTGGATCTTATAGAATAAAAGTACAACTTTAAATACTTATCTGGTTCGATTAATATTTTTTTCGATATAATAGATTAGTGTTCTTAGTTTATTCGAAATGAAAGAAGAAAAAATGCCTATATTTGTATACACTATCGATGAAATTTCTAAGAAATTCTCAGAATAAATGAAAGGTAACAAATTTAGTCCAGATACCCCATTCAGATTACTGGTATGTGGAGGATCCAATAGCAGAAAAACTAATATGGTTATAAATCTTATGCTTGATAATAAATTACAGTAAATGTTTAAAGGTAAGAAAGAAAATCATTATATCAAAAATGATGATCTCGTATTAATAGGCAAGCATTTTGAGTCAAAATGACAACTTGTACAAAATAGCTTTCAGATCTTTGCGAATGCACCCAAATTATATCGAGAAGATGTCACATTTAAAAGGATATCTCCAGATAAAATTCCAAATATAACCAAATTCTTACCAGAGCAAAATACAGTTGTTGTATTTGAGGATCTATATGCTGAATCGAAAAAAGTACAAGAACGAATCATTTCTTATTTTATTAGTGGTCGATATCAAAATATCTCGCCAATATATGTATTACAGAAATATACACAAACACCTAAAATTATTCGTGAAAATTTAAGCCATCTTGCACTATTTAACAATGGGAGTTCTGAGAAGATCTCATTCGAATTCTGCGTCAATTTGTAGATGATCCTAAAAAAACATCCAAAATTATTGACAAGCATCTACGAAATCGAAATTTTATAGTTTTTGATTTCACTAAACCAACTGATAATATTTTAAGTATACATCTTGGTTGGGATACTCCTTTGAAATTAAATGAATAGGATAGGATTTCAAAGATTAAAAGTATTTCTCGTCAATGTCTCCAAAACTATCGCTAAATGATGCTTGTGTTATTGCTGAATCCCGTGGTGGGAAATGTCTTTCAACTGAATACAAAGATAATAAAACTCCATTAGTCTGGATCTGCTCTAAGAATCATACATGGAGCGCCCCACTTCGTAGAGTTAAAAGCTCCGGATCATGGTGCCCATATTGTGCAGGTACCATAAAACTAACTCTTGAAAATATCAAACAAATCGCATTATCTAAACATGGAGAATGCCTTTCAACCGAGTATAAAAATAATCAATTACCATTAATGTGGCGTTGTAAAGAAAATCATTTATGGCGCGCATCTGTTGGCAATGTGAAAAGTGGTAAATGGTGCCCATATTGCACAGGTAATGCCCGACTTACTCTAGAAGATGCCAAGCAAATTGCACTCAACCGAAATGACAAATGTCTTTCAACCATATATAAAAATTCTGATACGCCAATGGCATGGAAATGTCATCAAGGTCATATTTGGAATAGCCCATTTCATAATATTAAATATTCTGAAACATGGTGTCCATTTTGTGCAGGTAATATAAAGTTGACTCTTGAGGACGCAAAGCAAATCGCATTATCCAGGCATGGTAATGTCTTTCAACTGAGTATAAAAATAATAATGGTCCGCTCATTTGGAAATGCCAATTCAATCATCAATGGCAAAACGACTTTAATCACATTAAAAATAGAGGACAATGGTGTCCATTCTGTATTGGTCGGTATCAGTTAATAGAGGATATGTGGAGACTTGCACAAACAAAAAATGGAAATTGCCTTTCAGATCAATATTATGATTCGCAAACAAAATTGGAATGGATTTGTGAAAACAATCATAGATGGGAGGCTATTCCCAATAGTATTCAACAAGGAAGTTGGTGTCCATATTGCGCAGGTAATATGAAATTAACTCTTGAGGATACGAAGCAAATTGCATTATCTAGACACGGGAATGTCTTTCAGAGAAGTATATTAATAATCAATCACCATTATTATGGTATTGCAAAGAAGGCCATTTATGGTAGGCATCTCTTGGTAATGTAAAAAGTGGTACCTGGTGTCCATTTTGCTATAAATATAAACGTGAAGAATTATGTCGAGAAATTTTAACAAAGTATCTTGGTCCACCATCTGAAAATCGCAGACCAGATTTCTTGAAAACGCCTGAGCATCCAATAGGTTTAGAACTCGATATTCCTTACTACCATTATGGTTTTGCGATTGAAGTACAAGGAGAACAACACGAAAAATATATTAAATTCTTTCATAGCGGAGATCCCAATAAATTTATCAAACAACAAGAGCGGGATCAACTCAAGAAAGAATTATGCGAAGAAAACTGGATCGTTTTAAAGTATGTCTGGTATTACGAAGACCCATATATAGTTATTCCAGAGCACCTTCGAGAATTGGGTCTCATTGAATAGAAATAAAACTTTAAATCGTATTTCGAAGTTCGAATAATATTGTTCTCGATCAAATTCATGTGACTGTGGAACAATTTATTTTTCCGACGCACAGTTACACACCGCATACACTGCTTAAAACCGGATTGTGGGTAAACCTTTTATTTTTCATTGATTACATGTCACAATACAAGGTTTTAATAATAATCTGATTGTGAATTTACAGAAAAAAGTATATCAATCTTTTCCCTATTCTAAAAACGTCCATACCAGAATGGACAGTTTCTATGGCAGTCACGTGTCTTGCTAACAAGCTGTTGAAATTTTGGTGTTCCAAGGGTATCGCGTTTGAAACTTGCTTTTGCTGATGGTGGACTTGGATTACAGACCTTAGCATAGAAAGTATTAAAGGATTTGCGAAAAATCTCTCGTACTCCTAAAAGCACATCTATTTCATCAACAAAAGACAACATCTCTTTCACCGAAGCCGGGACTGAAAATTGCCCGATATGGATCATATGTTCCTTGAATGAGATCCATCATGTAGAAGTCTAATGTATAATCTATAAAAAGCAATGTCCCAAAAAGTTAGCCATAAAAATCGTGGGAAAAAAAGCAACTATTATAGTTTCTTACCAACGCATTGAAAACCTAGCACTTTTATGTCAGCACCTAAGTCTATGGCCGAATCAAGGCAATCTTTCATAAAAACACCAACACGAATTAGGTCATTGCAATTCTTATAGACATTATTTTTTTCTAAAGGTGGACTGACTTCACCCACAAATATAAAACCGCTTTTCTGTAGCTGGTGGACAATAGATACTACAAAGTCCGGTTGTTTGCTTCTTCCTTGTGATTTCCTTGCTTTACTTTCATCAAGACCCGTATTGGGCCATTCAATAATATGTTTGTCTGGATCATGAAATATTTCCCTCATGATACGGTCCAGATAATTTGTAATAAACGTTATTTCGCTTGGCTCATTTTTAATCTTTTCAGTCGGCAACGTTTTCAGATTTTCCAAGATAACGTAATCCATGTTCTCATCCAACATTTGATCGTTTGCAAGTTCTGCTAGCAGTGATTTTATGGCACTGCGACGCGACTCTTTTGTTGCTTGCTTGATCACCTTCCTAAAATTTGATTCACATTCTGAGTCTAATGCTGTTTGCTGAACAGGTTTGAATTGTTGATAGACTTCATCAAGCAGAGGAGAACCGAATATGTTGACCATCGTTTTTGAGTAAGAGCCTGGAATAAGCAGAAAAATCGAAGACAGTGCCAGTATTTCATGTACGTTTGATTCAACGAATAGACCATCAGTCTTTGCGATCTTTGCTGACTCATTCTGATATTTCCGGAATAATTGAGATATATTGATTTCTCCTATCTTAAGATCATTTTCTGGATCCTCATCATTGAAGCACAGTTCGTCTACATCATCAATTATTATAATTCCGTCCTCGTCCTCTTCCACTACAAATGGATTATCTATTGGTAGTGAATGTAATGTTGGACTACATGGCGATGGTGTAGAGTATCCATCTTGATGTTGTTTTTTTATTATCCGTTCCTCATTATAACAGATATCTCGTCTTTTTCTTAAGAGATAAGATTTGTTATCCGTAGCTAGGTGACATACGAATAATCATAAAAGTTTGTGTTGAATTAGTATCTCAGTGCTATGCGACAGCAGAATACTGTTTGTACCATTTCCAGATATCTCTAGGCAAATGAACCTTTTTACCTTGTTAGTATCCTCCGCTTCTTCTTGTTCATCATTTTGCTTCATTTCTTTCCAAAAGATCTAACTGAGACCTATGAACCATCCTTGAGGTATCGTTTAAACGTTCGTTTCCCGTTTGCAAAAAATTTACAATACCTTCAGCCTGAAAATTTATTAAAATTCATTATTTGCTTCAAATCTATGATCCTGAAAGTTTAACCACGCGTTACCTCGACTATTTTTCGTTTTTTATCTAATGTAACGAGTTTTTGGTCCAGCTTTTTGTCTTCCCAAAAATTTTTAACTTCCTCCGATACCTTTTCATTCTAGATGAATATTAATTTTGCAATCGTCTATTTTATTATTGTAATTAAATTTCTAAACTATCATAACGTATCTATAGCGGAGCCGTAGCCTTTCGTACACATGGCCGTAGCCAGCATACTAGCCAGTAGAGTAACATTGCATTACTTAACGGAGCCGTAGCCTTTCGTATAAATAGCCGTAGCCATTATACTAGTTAATAACACGTTACAACTTTCGCATGTTGAGATCCCGCAGGCCGTAGCTATTAGGCAACAAAGCGAATGTCTACACTACAATAGTAGCCCATCACCCACAAAAAGCCGACTTACCGCAAACTCTCCCAAAGCTTCTACGATTGCTTTGTGTCGTTCGTCCATTTCTTTACAACTTCGTTTAATTATAGTGAGTTCCGAGACGTATTGAGATTGAATTTTGTCCTTATGAAGCAAATCTTTCGTTTGTGAGAGATAAATTAAATATGTAATCAACGATGGTTTCGAAATCGAACTCCAGTATGCTGTAAATTTTAACGAATATAATGAGAATACGATTCCTTGGATAAGTAATAAGCGATATGTACCTGGTTCGCTTAGCTTTTTACAAACGTTTTCACTTAGTTTCATTTCGACTGTGCCAAACAAATCCAATAACCTTAAAATCAACCTTTTTTATTTTTTAGTCACGCGCGTTGCGATTGGTTAATCAGAAACTTTATTTATATGACGTAAAAAATGCCAAGCTTCATATCATGAATGAACGTTTAATATTCACAGAGTCCGATAAAAATACTTTTTTACGCACATACAAATAATTAAAAAAAGAAAAATCAACCTGGGAACAATTCATCGAACTTAATAACCAGTTTCAACAAACTGAAGACCGAGATGATGACTGGCACTATAATTGGAGAGGTCCAAATCGACAATGTTGAAATTATATTGTCACCGATTCAATATCGACTATAATTTCATATAAAGAACATGTGAACAAAAGATGCAGTAATGATCAAAATTAGTCATAATAATATTTAGACTACATAATTGGTGCAATAATATTCTACTTCTTTCTATTTCTTTCTATTTTCTTCTTTTTCTTTCTTGTATTGTTACCATTTTGAGCTTTTACATATGAAAGTATTTCAAAATGGCAATAGTGACTGTGTTCACAGCAATTTACTTTGAATATTATAACTAAATGGTGT